GGACATGATAGCAGTATTCCAATATCTCAGGGGCTGCCATAAATAAGAGGGAATTAAGCTATTTTCCAAAGCACCTGAAGGCAGGACAAGAAGCAACGGGTGGAAACTAATCAAGGAGAGAAGCAACCTAGAACTAAGGAGAAACTTCCTGACAGTGAGAACAATTAATCAGTGGAACAGCCTGCCTCCAGAAGCAGTAAATGCTCCAACACTGGAAGTTTTTAAGAAGAGACTGGACAGCCATTTTTCCAAAATGGTGTAGGGTTTCCTGCCTGAGCAGGGGGTTGGACTAGATGACCTCCAAGGTCCCTTCCAACTTTACTACTATTACTATTACTCCTTGTGGCAAACACTTTGTTGCTTTGTATAAAGTTTGGTTCAGTCTCTGGACTTTTCATCTTGGTCCATCTACTTTTTCAGAGTCAGGTTTTTATCCCTAGGGTGAGCCGTGGCCTTGAACTTGACAAAAAGAAAGGCACAAATATTTGGGATGTTTGGTGCAGGGAGATATCCCTTACCAATTGCCTCATTCGGCAATCATTTGAAGTTACAACAGCGCTGGGGGAAAAAAAAAAATCTTTAAGCAATGCCTGCCGTTTATGACCTCTGCAATGACTCTCGGTCACATGATTAATGTTACATTCAGAACCTGTTGTCCTCTGCCTGACTTGTTTTTCTTTCTCCCCATTGCAGAGATGTTGGAGAGGAAGGGATTGCAAGAGAGTAAGCAAGCCCATCGGAAGGAACATACTCGCCGTTTGCAGAGCACCCTCAAGGCTGCAGGCATACTCAAATGTAAATACAAAATTACTTTAATTACCCTCTTGCTAATTATCCCAGGGTTGGGTAGGAGCATTCCGAAGGGCAAGGGAGTGGGGGAAAGGGTTGCACTGTTACAGTTACAAGGTTAGCAATGGCATCATTTAAACTACAGAGCTGCCAAAGATAATTGTGGCCGCTAAATGAGGACTATCTGTAACATGGCGGCCAAGGCAGATATTTCTTTCATTCACAGTGATCTAGTTCACGTTTCTCCAATATGGAGGAAAATCATCCCCAGGAGGTGGCTATCCAACTTTTTCTCAAAAACTCCAAAAGTGGAGAACCTTACTACAGTTCACGGACAGATCTCATGATTCAGAAGTTTTTCCTTAGCTTTAATAAATAAACAAACTTTATTGTCATTGTATGTGTATACAATGTATGTGTATACATTGTATGTGTATACAACGAAATTTACGTGACACCCAAAGACCAGGTCCCACATACATAATCCCCAAACACACACATACCCACCACAATTTCCCACCCCTAAAACCACCCAAACATCCACCCAACAGACCAAGTAATACTGTCCAACACAGTGGTTCTCAACCTGTGGGTCGGGACCCCATTTCACAGGGGTCATCAAACAATGCAGTCCGCCATTTTTTCCCCCTTTTCCTTAGCTGCGCTACTCCCTTTTATTCTATTGGCTTTTGAAAGCCAATAGAATAGACTCTCTTGAATAGAGTCTAATTCTATTGGCTTTCAAAAGCCAACAGGAATTGTCCAGGCTGTCTCTGCCCTGCTGAGCCCGCCAAAAGTCCCATTCTGCAAACAGTGCTGCACCAGTTGAGTAGTTCTCAACTTAATGACTGGTTGAATAGTCCTCGACTTACGACCAGTTGGGGGTCACGGCATTAAAAAGGTTGACAACTACTGGTCCAACAGTTCACTGACGGTGGCCTCTTAGTTCATTATTAAGTGCAATTCTAGCTCTGGGATAAAAACTGTTCAGAAAACGTGTGGTCCGAGTTTTAAATGTAGAACTTCTCCCTATACTAGAAAATTCTTCCATCCAATTCCTTGCTAGACATTACCAAGGCTCCGGTTTAATTAAAACCATTACCCACTTTTCCACAATTAAGTGCCCATTCTGTGCAAGCCAATCACAACACCTCAACCGGAAAAGGCGTCACAGATTTCCGGAAGCAAAAGAATAAAAGGGATTTACTCAGAACCTGGGAAAAGGCTGTGCAACTTCCATAGCAAAACACAGCAGGTTGGATTCCTAATTCCTAATCCTAACCAGAAGGAATCATGGCCCTCTTAAACTGAGACACTGAGAACCCAGATCAGCTTTGGAAGAGGCAAGGGTTAGGATTTATAGCCAGGATGGAGCTTGGTGTGAGCTCCTATAAACATTTCTCCCTGTGTTTGGATAGGAAAGCTACACATTAAGCTCTGTTTGTTGGTTTGAAACCATATATTTTTTTATTTGGGGCTACGAGGCACAGCGGGGTCTCAAGGCAGAGCCCCTGAACAGAGTATTGGCTATCCTGCCCAATTCAGAATAATCTTTTAATCCCCACCTTATTTATTTCCGATTTGTTGTCAGATTTGTGGCCCACCTTTTACCAATCAGCTCAAGCCAACAATTAGAGACAGTGCCTGGTTCTTCAGAAAATTTTGAGGGGGGGGGTGGCACAAGGGGGGGGGTTGAACCAGGGTTTCCCCAAAACCAATTCATCTTTTTCACCACAGCACCTCAGTGGCAATCACTAAAACGGCGTGATCCACTTTATAGACTTTTGAAGATGGTTCCGCTACTTCTGCCTTCTCCAACTTGGCAGCTACAACCCACAGAATGCCCAGGAGCCATGTTGGCTGGGAACCATGGAGTTTACAGTGTAACATCTCTGAAAGGCTTCTGGGTGGGGAAGATGGTTGCAGGCTGCTAGCTAGAAAACTCTTTCTACAATGTTTCACAATTAGCTGCACAGGAAGTATTGTTTCAAATGGTTAGGAATTGTTGAAAGTGTTTCATTTAGCTACAACAACATTGTTTCTCAGCCTTGACAACTTTTTAAACCTGTTTGCAGTTCACGCTGGGAACTGTGAGGATTGAAGGCCACACTTTTTAAAGTGTTGTTATATAAACAGAGGCATAGAATCAAAATCACATGAAGTATTACTACCACATCTGGAATACGCCATCTCGTTGTGGTCACTACATTACAAAAAAGATGTTGAGACTTTGGAAAAAGTGCAAAGAAGAGCAACTAAGATGATCAAAGGCCTAGAGATTAAAACATATGAAGAACAGTTGCAGGAATTGAGTATAGCTAGTCTAGAGAAAAGAAGGACCGGGGGAACATGAGAGCAATCTTCCAATATTTGAGGGGCTGTCACAAAGAGAGTCCCCTGGACTGCAAGGTGATCAAACCGGTCACTCCTAGAGGAGATCAACCCTGACTGCTCTTTAGAAGGCCAGATCCTGAAGTTGAAACTCAAATACTTTGGCCACCTAATGAGAAGGAAGGACTCACTGGAGAAGGGCCTAATGCTGGGAAAGATGGAGGGCAAGAGAAGACTGGGACGACAGAGAATGAGGTGGTTGGATGGAGTCACTGAAGCAGTAGGTGTGAGCTTCAATGGACTCCAGAAGATGGTAGAGGACAGGAAGGCCTGGAGGAGCATTGTCCGTGGGGTCGCGATGGGTTGGACACGACTTCGCAATTAACAACAACACAAAGAGAAGGGGGTCAACTTATTTTCCAAAGCACCAGAGTGTAGGACAAGAAACAATCAAGGAGAGAAGCAACCTGGAATTAAGGAGAAACTTCCTAACAGTGAGGACAATTAGCCAGTGGAACAGCTGGCCTTCAGAAGTTGTCGGTGCGCCAACGTTGGAGGTTTTTAAAAAGAGACTGGACCAGTCACTTATCTTAAATTGTATAGAGCAGGGGTAGGCAACCTTGGCTCTTTTATGACTCGTGGACTGGCTCAGGAATTCTAGGAGTTGAAGTCCACGAGTCATAAAAGAGCCAAGGTTGCCTACCCCTGGTATAGTCTCCTGCTTGAGCAGGGGGCTGGACTAGAAGACCTCCAAGGTCCCTCTCAGCTCTATTTGGATTCTGATTCTAATTCTGAAAGTTACCAAGTTCAAGTCCCGCCTTGCAGTCTGCATTGGGGGTCTGCCTGCTCTGGCACCCCCATTCCTCCCCCCCCCGGGGCCCAACCTGCCCTTATGGGCTGAGCCGAGGCTTCAGTGCTTGGAGAAGCAGCCAGGCCATCGACCAGGAGAGAACCCAGGTGCGTACTGTGGTCTGCTTCTCCTCCCTTTTTCGGTCCCTGGGATTGGTGGCCTCGTGGGGGTGGGCCGTGCCACGAACAACACCTGCCATTGACTATTCATCAGGTATAATGAGCAGCCAGAAAAGGCTGGGCAAGCAGGGAGGGCTGCCTAGGGGCAATTGGGGGGGGTGGGGGGGTGGGCATGGAGAGAAAGCTTGTCAGAGATGCCAGGGCAGGACGACACCCACCACCCAAGACAGGAGAGGAGACCCCGGGGAAGGGGAGGAGGGCAAGACTTGCTCCAAGGGCCCTGGGGTCTCCCCTTTCTGCAGCCGGGGATGGGAAGTGGGGGGGGGGCTTAAGCAGAACTCTGGCGAGGCAAAAGAGCCTCTCCAGACCGGCTCCCACCCCCCAAGGGGCTTCTTTCAGGCGCTTCCACCGAGGGGCTGTGCCCCCCCCTCTCTCTCTCTCCTTTTTTCCAGCAGCGCAGCGGTGGACGCCCAGGGAAGAGTCCCGGGACGGGAGACCACCAGGCGATCCCAAGCTGATCTCTCTCTCCCCCCCCCTTTTTTTCAGCAGCGCAGCGGTGGGCGCCCAGGGAAGAGTCCCGGGATGGGAGACCACCAGGCGATCCCAAGCTGATCTCTCTCTCCCCCCCCCCTTTTTTTCAGCAGCGCAGCGGTGGGCGCCCGGGGAAGAGTCCCGGGACGGGAGACCACCAGGCGATCCCAAGCTGAACAAGAGCCCTTCTAGAAGGCAGGAGGGGTGGGGGGGAGAAGGCGTGGAGAAGCGCCGCCCTTCTAGAGAGCGAGCCCGGCCAGGGTTTGGGGCTCCCGGCAGAGGCCGGAGCCAACCGCGGGGCCCGGGCGAGGCGGCGGACGGGCGAGGCTGCCCTTGGCCGCGGGGAGCCCAGGCGGGCCAGGGCGGCGGCGGGGACTCACGTCATGTTGCGGACGGTGCGCCCGCCGTTCCAGAGCAGGCAGGCCAGGCTGGTGAGGGCCGAGGCCGTCACGCAGAGCGCGCAGTAGCTGCTGATCTTGGCCCGGAACCGGAGCCGCGGGCTCAGCGCCGCCGCCGCCAGCAGCAGCAGCAGCAGCGCCAGCAGCAGCAGCGCCAGGGCGGCCGCTCCCATCCCGGCCGGCCGGCCGAGCCGTCAGAGCGCCGCGAGGAGAAAAGCCGGACCGCGCACCTGCGCCACGCGCGGCCCGAGAGCTCCGGAGCCCGGCGGAGAGTCGGGCAGCGCCTGGTGCACCCCCGCCGCGCTCGCGCTTTTAAGGGGCGGACGCCTTCCCCCGCCCCGCCCCTCCCGGCTCGGTCCCGCCCCGCGCCCCGCCCTCCCCGGAACTTGGCTCTTTTAGGACTCGGGGACTTCAACTCCCAGAATTCCTGAGCCAGCATGGGAACTATGGCCCCTTCATGACTTGGGAACTTCAATTCCCAGAATTCCTGAGCCAGCATGGGGGAACTATGGCCCCCTTATGACTTGGGGGCTTCAACTCCCAGAATTCCTGAGCCAGCATGGGGGAACTATGGCCTCTTCATGACTGGTGGACTTCAACTCCCAGAATTCCTGAGCCAGCATGGGGGAACTATGGCCCCTTCATGACTTATGGACTTCAACTCCCAGAATTCCTGAGCCAGCATGGGGGACCTATGGCCCCTTCATGACTTGGGGACTTCAACTCCCAGAATTCCTGAGCCAGCGTGACTCAGTCACTAAACAAATGATGATAAGTCGAGGACTTCCTGTCGTTGGATAGGGAAGCCACATCTGCGGGAGCCCCGGAAGGAAAAGTTCTCACTGAAATCCTGTTCCTTTCCCACCCAAGTGGCTGTCCGTCAGTGTCGGGGTTACAGCTGCCAAAAGGGGAAATAGTTCCCCGTTTTGAATCGCTGATACTACTGTACTTTACGACAGAGGTCCCCAAACCTTTGGGCACCAGGGACTGGTTCCGTGGAGAGAGATTTTTCCCCGGACCGGAGGGGACGTGGTTTCGTGTGCTGCCTTTATCCCGCGGACGGGGCTTTGCTTGTTTGTGCGGATCGGTTGCTGGCATACCGTGGCCTGGTACTGGTCTACGGACCGGGCGTTGGGGGACCCCTGGTTTAGGAGTATGTCTGTATGTGGTTATGCTTGGTACCTGTATATATTTAGAACAGTGGTTCTCAACCTTTTTAATGCCGCGACCCCCAACCGGTCGTAAGTTGAGGACTACTCAACTGGTGCAGCACCGTTTGCAGAACGGGACTTTTGGCGGGCTCAGCAGGGCAGAGACAGCCTGGACAATTCCTATTGGCTTTTGAAAGCCAAAAGAATTAGACTCTATTCAAGAGAGTCTATTCTATTGGCTTTCAAAAGCCAATAGAATAAAAGGGAGTAGCACAGCTAAGGAAAAGGGGAAAAAAATGGCAGATTGCATTGTTTGGCGACCCCCGTGAAATGGTCGTTCGACCCCAAATGGGGTCCCGACCCACAGGTTGAGAACCGCTGATTTAGAATAACCCTAAAATGAGTAGGCTTTGCTGTTCTGGGGGAAGTCAGTTCCACTCTCTCTGGAGCACACTCTTCTGCACAGAGGATCTGTGGATCAGATTCCCCCCCCCCCTTGTGATGGGATCTGTAGTTGAGTAAGGGAGAGATGGCTGCTGGAGCATCAGCGTTGTGGTCCCTACTGGAGATCCAAATTCCCCTTTTGGCATTGGCAAATAAACCTTTTTCAGGCCCCAGAGAATGTGGGATCCTTTCCACATGGATTTGCTTCTCCTTTTCATTCTGTGCTTGGGGGGGGGGGGTGTTATTTATTTATTTATTTATTTATAAATTGGTTCGCCATGCATCTTGCACGGAAATGACTCCGGGCGCCTTTCAACATTAAACACATTAAAATCCTAAGAAATGTATCTAAAACAATAAAAACGGAGATTGCAGTAAAATGCAAGAATAAACTGTTCTAGGAATAAAGACAAATGGGAGACCTTCGCCTGGGTTAACGATCGTTATTTTTATTTAATTCTTCAATATTCACTCCAGTGGAGCTGAAGGGGAGCAAATGGAAAAGCCCCCCCCCCCCCCAATCCTGCAAAGGCACCACGGAGTAGCTGCTTCGAGACCATTTAATCACGTAAATTTTGAAAAAAACACAAGCTCTGTCTCAAGGTAGCCCATCAAAAGCAGAGGGGGGTGGACTAGATGCCCTTTGGCCCCCCTCGGAAGGAAAGCCCCCGTCGGCTGAAGGAGCCTCCTTAAGCCACGGGCCTGATTTTCATTTCTGAGCGCTTGTAGGAATAGTAGTGGCCTCTCCCCTGTTGCCAGTTGATGCCGTCCCCACGAGATTTGTGTTCGCCCAGCCAGTATTTCCCGTTGAGGTTGGAGACGTGGCAGTCTTTATACCACCAGGCTCCTTTGTACTTCTCGGCGCAGTTGAACTTTTCGGGGTCCTGCCGCTTGTCTCGGGTGGAGAAGGGCATCTTGTTGTGGTAGGAGAGCGAGTCACCTGGGAGGCAGACAGCGGGGTGGGTGCCTGGAAGGCCAGCTCAGGATAGCTCCAGTTTATTTATTTGTTTATTTATTTATTTCTAAAATTTATATGCCGCCCAATCCCAAGGGACTCAGGGCGGCGTACAAAATTAAAACAATCATCTAACAATAAAACAATAAAATAAATACATTCATGCCGCGTGTCCGATCATATCCCGCCCCTGCCCCCCCCAGGGACATCAGCCCCAGGCCTGCCGGAACAGGAGAGTTTTAACGGCTTTCTTAAAGGCCGGCAGGGTGGGAGTAGTTCGAACCTCGGGGGGGAAGTTGATTCCACCAGGTCGGAGCCACCACAGAAAAGGCCCTTCCCCGAGGGCCCGCCAGCCGACATTGCCTGGCCGACGGGACCTGAAGGAGGCCCAATCTGTGGGACCTCGCCGGTCTCTGGGAACTGTGCGGCAGTATGCGGTCCTGTAAGTAACCTGGCCCTATGCCATGAAGGGCTTTAAAGGTGATAACCAACACCTTGAATTGCGTCCGGAGACCCACAGGAAGCCAGTGCAACTCGCGGAGGATAGGTGACACATGGGCGTACCTCGGCGCGCCCCCAATCGCTCTCGCGGCTGCGTTCTGAACCAACTGCAGCCTCCGAACGCTCTTCAAGGGTAGCCCCATGTAGAGCGCGTTACAGTAATCCAGTCTTGAGGTGACAAAGGCATGAGTGACCGCCTGACTGGCACTGCCCAATTCGAAGAGGCCCACGGAGAAGGACGCTGATGCCCCCTGGACGTCGTCAGCGACTCACCTGCAGGGCCCCCCATGAAGGCGCCCAGAGTTAGTCGATACCAGTCGGATTCTGCCGCCACCTGGAAGGACGCATATTTGGCGAAGGACTGCTGATTGTCGACATCAGTTAAGTCAATACGCAATTCGTTCTTTCCTAGGACGAAGAGAACAGCCACGTGGGTCATTTTGCGCCCTGCTCGGTCACCAAGACTCACAGCCCCGTTGCCAGGTTCCTCTGGCGCCTCCACCATCCACAGTGGAGGCTGAGGATCCATTCGAGGTTCTTCCCAGCCAGGGTCCTCCGCCTGTCGTCCCCGGCAGCAGGAGGGTTCAGGGCTGCCAGAGGAAGCCCCTCACCCAGCGAGGTCAAGCGGTGAAGGTGGTCGTTCCCCAGCCAGAATTCGGTCAGCTGGCTTCCAAATCCCTTCTTGTATGCAGCCCAGTCCCGGAAAAAGTCCACGGAGCCGTCCGACCGTCTTTGGAAGACCTGCGGGCGAGAATCGGGAGCCTTGGTAAGGACAGATGAGAAGAGTATATCTTCCCCTTATTCAGGATGCTGCTTACACGCGCTTGTATGTGCTTAGAGCTCTGAGCATTGTTAGAGACTCCCACATATCCACTTCATCATCTGTTCCTGTTGCTCCCCTCTGAGAGGAGGTTTTGAAGTATTTATAGCAGGACTGCCCGGTTCTGTAACAACTTTGTTCCCTATGCCAGGGTTGCCTAACCTATGGGCCACAGCCCGGTACCGGGCCGTGGCCTGGTGACCACCGGGCCGTGGGAATGGCTGACGAGTGTGCATACATGTTTGTGCACTCCCCCACTCGTGCTAGCGCCGCCATGAGGTGAGTAGCTGCCGCATGAGTGCAAGCAGCCCCATTTGCGCATGTGTGCGCATGCACAAATTTTCCCGCTCCTCCCTTTCCCTCCAGGCTGCCAAACAGGAAAGGTTGGGGACCTCTGCCCGACGCCATTGGTCTGGTAAACTCTCAAGATCCGTTTTTCTCACCAGGTACATGTATGCATCCGAACTAGACTGTGTTGTTTCTCTGGGCCACCTATCTCTGTGTATGTGGGTACTGTATATACACCATTTATTTATTGTCATGTTCATGCAGTGTATATTGGAGGTGGTTACCCTTTGACAGCTGTATGCAACGAAATCTCATTTTCATGCGTGCTGATTCATGCACCTTTAAAGTGACAATAAAGTTATGATGCTAGTCTATTATTCTATTCTTAACCTTCCTTCTGGGCAGGTCCCAAAATCAAAGGCTTTCTCTCCCCAGACCCCTCCCTCCCAAATTTTTAGGGGTCTCAGAGCTGGCCTTCCCCACCCAGAAGTGCTGGGTTCCATTTCTCGGTCCCAACCAGCCCCCTTCCTGGTCTCACGAAAGACTCTGTTTCTGTTTCATCCCATTTCTAGCAAGCAGCAAACTTACAATCCTGGGTGTGTCTGCTGTGGGGCATAAGCCCCTTCCCCCGGGCCTCCCTCAAAGGGACGGTGGGCAGAAGCGCCACACGGCAGAGCCGCCCTCCGCCGGACTCACAATCCATCCGCCTCCATCGGTGTCCATGTCGCACAGCACCTCCAGCGGCTGGCAGCCTTGGGGGTAGATGGTGTACCAGCCGCTCAGGACCACCCCCTTTTTCAGGAGCTCTTTGCAATTTTGAGCACCTGGGCAGAAAAAGAGGGCAGGAGAGGTTGGTGTTGTCTACCCCAGGGTCTTTGCCAAGACGCCCCTCGCCTCTCTTAGTCCTGGGGGTCCTGTTCTCTGGCTGCAGCTGGTTGGCAACAGGCATCCGGCTGGCTGAACAGACCAAACGGTTGCAGTGTGGCTGTCAGAATCCAATTACATTTCATTTCTAGCTACCTACTCTGAAAAAAGACCCATTTCTTACTCTTTGTGGATTCTGTCATACTACGAAAGGGGAGGAAGGAGCAAGGGGTTTTTATGACTCTCCCTTCCTTCACTTAAACTACAAAGGA